ACACAAGTTAAATTTATTTTGTATAGATTGTGAAAAGCTAAATGACAAAAGAAATTTGGTCTACCAAAATCATCCTTCACTCACCACAACCAGCCAACCATTGTGTCAAATCAGGTTAAATATAACTCATTAATCTATGTACCCCTATTCAGTAAGCATTGTATACAAGTTCTAATTGATATCGCACAAACCAAATCATCGGGAAGACCTTTCCTTATGATTACCTGATTGGGTGATAGTATAAAAGCTTCTGTTTTCTTTGTGCTGAACTCTGAAGACCAAAATCAGAAGACGGACATTTAAGATATGGAAAGGACAGAATAACCTTCAGTTAACCCTTTTGCCCTGTGTAGGTTAAAGTGCACATGTCATGATGTTTTGGAGAGTTATTTTCAAAATTTTATTAAACAACTTTATTACTAGTTACGTCAATGAAAGTGGCATCAAAACATGGTTTATAATTGAAATGTCAATATTATATATATATATGTTTTAATTTCTTAATTTAAAAATAAATACAAAGAAAAACATGCTAAATATCAATTTTTGTGTTTCACATAACATGCTCCTGTCCTATTGCTCAGTTTACATTTTATTACACCTACCATACAGCATGTACAGTGGCTAATGAATTAGAAACTCAAAGTTGAGATATGGACAAGTTAAATGTAAAATTAGATCCACCCATCTCTATGATTTGCTGAGACCCCTAGCAGTGGCATGCTTTGCATGCTAAAGTGTGCTCTGTACACTATTGTGTACATTTCCTCCACCCCTGAAGGTGATTAACTTATGGAATACGTTGACATCAGTCTTAGTGAAAGTGAGCACCTCACAAAACTCTCAGGGAAAGAAATATTGCTTTCCTATGAAATAAAGGGTGGGTTTGGGTTTAATATATCTCATGGAAGGATGTGCAGAGATTGCTGTATTATAAGTCTAACTGAAAAAGAAATTTTAGACCAAGCCTGCACTTGAACTTCCAAAATTAAATCTGTTATCTACAATATTCAACTCTGTATTTCCAACTTTTTCGTTCCATAATTCAAACATAACGGCCAGAAAAAGACAGCTAACAATTTTCAAAATCTGATTCAAGTTATCTATAATTTGTCCTAATGAAAATATTCAAAACTGCCAGTATGATCCTCTTTCCTACCCCCACATGGATGTTGGGTCCTGATGGCTGGGTTTTGGATGCAGTTGACTTGCTGAGTACGTTCCATCATTCCCTAGCCACTCTACACCTTGGGGCACGTCCTTTTTACTGTGTTCAATGGGATTGAGATTCAGATATCAGGTAGTTCAGATCCCTATCCAGCCATCGTTCTCTCACTTTTGGATGTGCTCCTCCCATTTTCTGCCCATATCTGCATCATCTCTTTCCACAATGGGTGAAGTGTAGTACCTGGTAAAAAAGTGGTGTAGTCTCCCATGTATGATCCTTTACTGTAAGGATCTACTCTTTTTGGGGGTTTTTCGGATGCTTTCCCTCCTCCTATTCAATGTGGGATTCTAGCTAATGTACTGTAATGGAGGTAATGTACTGTATCAGAAGTTATAATTTTCCTATACTGCAAATCTACCTATCAGTAATACATTTTCAGTATAGGAAAATTAAAAACGTTAAACTCTTTTGGTTGATGTGAACCTCAGTGGCAGTATTCTAGACATCAATGCTCTATGTGGTCTCAAAATCTTTACAAAATATCCATTAAAACCCTCTTTCCAACTTCATCAATAGTTTAAATACTTAAGATGTGTTTATTATACCAGAAGATCTATTTACACTTCCAAAGAATTGTTCATCTATACGGTATACCTGGAATTTGAACATTCATTAATCTAGTATGTTTTTGAATTTGATTTTCTCTTTATGATAAGAGTTTTAATAGACTTTTGTAGTCCTTGTTGTAAATTTCATATCTCTTAAGTTTAATGAAGTTTCTTAATCCTTTCAAGATGGGTTATGGGTGAAAGGTCATGTCATCTTGTTTGTTGACTCGCATTCAAAATTTTAATGAAATACTATATCAAGACTTTATGTCAACAAGTTTGGTATCAAACT